ATCATGGTAATAATTAAATAAAAAATTTTAAATTGTTATAAACAATAAAAATAGGGACCCATTCTATATATATGAGTACTTTTAACGCATAATTTTTTCTTTTATTAAAAAAATATTACCAACCGTATAACATAAATGAAAACATACTTTTTTCGTGTATAACAATGAAATTTGTTGTAAATAATGAAGAAAAGGATCTATGAGGTATATTCGAATTCTTCTAACGCACAATTTTTTCTTTTACTGAACTGGAGTAACTAACCATATCAAATTAATAAAAATACACTCATTTCGTTTATAACAATTTCATTTGTTATAAAGAATGGAAACGGGCTCTATTCGAATTGTTTTTTCATTTTTTCCACTGGGAAGTTGGTCGTGTGGACCTTTCGGGTCGCACCCAGACCACTGCAGAGCACTAATATTTCAGTTAATATTTACAGAATGTAATGAATGAACAAGTTCAAATTTTTTTTTGATAAAACTGCGTAAAGTTCCATTGTATTTCCTGTTTAGAGGAAGTAAAACCCAATATTTCTTTCTTACTTAAAATGACAAAATTTGTTTGAACGCATGCTCACACGCTTGTTGTCCTTCTCTAACAGGCAGAACATTTTACTTTATTAACTTCTAAGGAGATATGAAATCGAAATTTTCATCCCAATATGATAAAAGATCTATTTTTAGCACGAAACTAGACATACTTCAATTCGTGATATTCGATTTCTTGCTTTACTAGTGCAAGGAATACTGTATTGTACTCCCTTGATACGAAATATTGCATTGAAGAGGGTACTTTCTAAGAAGAAATTAGTAGCTATTGACTAATTTCGAGTGAATATTTACTATTTGTACCATTGGGCTCAGTGACGCAATGGGAAATAGTAAAAGAAAACTTTACTTGTTGAATTAGTCAATTAATACTAATTGCACTGGTAAATTTTACTAATTTGATTATTAAATAAAACGATATACCTTTTGTTATATCGGGAATAGGATTCAGGATTTCAGTCCATTTTTACACACATGAATTTATTTGAATAGTCACAAATTTATTGTTACTCTCAAAACTTTATTAGACTAAATGTTTAATACTATAGCTTACTACAGTTCACAGTAATATTTTGTCTTAATCACATCTATTTGTGATCAAATATTCTTAACAATTTTGTATTTTTTCATTTATTTTAATTTTCTTATTTATTTAATCCAATAATATCAAAATTTGTTCGTCAAATGACAATACAATTTATCTCATCTTCAAATATCTATCGAATAGGAATATAAATTATCTTAAAAAAAAGTTATTTACAATCTGAAGATTATTCTATTGATTTCATATTGATCATATTTACATGCAAAGATGAAACAAAACTTTTTGTCTTGATGTCCATGTTGAAAATATATTTATCAATGAATGCATAGAAATTATTCAATTTTTCTGGGTAAACGGTACACATTCGAAACTGCACATTGATAAATAATCATAAACCATCGCTATGCGCGACATCATGAGCCGTATACTATGAATTGAATTTTCAAGATTTTTGCTGGCTTAAGGCGCCTCGAGCGGAAAAATATAGGTATATAAAAGTATATGGACCTTTGCGCACTAGTTTTAGGCAAATAAATAGATAAAATAATGAAATACCTACAGGAAAAGATTCGCGCAACAACAATCGATGGAATACAACGAGATGAGGACGATTGGTTGACGAATAAGCAAAATATCCGAAATTAAAAATCTAAACCGATTTGACAAATTTTTTTTCATATTTCTAACTCTAACTTGTTAACATATGGCCGACCAAAACCTATATACCTATATTTTTCCGCTCAAGGCGCCTTAATTAGTAAATAAGTCCGAAGTAACTTAGTAAATCGTAAAGTTTAATAGCTTATTCTCTTAAAATTATTTAGAGAAGGAAAATTCTAATCTCTAATTATTAATTAAAAATGATGATGAATGAAACCAGTATAGATATTAAAATTTTTAACTTAAATCCTACCGGTATACCACTGGTAAATAATTGATGAATGATTTATCAGTAGAAATTTTTCCTTTAATCTAGTTGGATCAATTTTATTCTTTTTACACAGCTAGACTAATTGATTTGTTTTAGTTTTCAATTACTTTTTAATTGAATAAAATTCTTGGCTTACTTTTACGTTTCACTTTTTGATATCTAGCCAATTTAAACTGGAAAATCTTACACATTTGTAAACGAAATCCAAGTACTTCATCCTTACAAAGTTGAAGCTAGAAATTGCCGTAACTGGTCGAAGTCACCGGGTATTCACGTAGCTAGTTATCGAACGTCGGAGCAAATATCGTGTCGTACTACTTGTGGGCGATGCGATGTGAAACGGAAACCGATTTTACCTATTTTACGCGCGAAAGAACACGAAGGAAATTCTTGCAGTGGAAAATCAATCGTTAATCTACGACAGCTCTCAATTTCTAATACGCATAGATTTTTCCATAATTCTTATGATTACTTAAACCTAAAAGTCTTTAATTTGAATTACTATTTAATCTTTAATAGTCTCAGGTAAAGAAAAGTAAAATATTTCTTTTAATCTATTATTTTTGGAAGATGAAAAGTTTTTAAAATTTCCAAGAACCCATTGAAAGATGAATTGTCTCGGTTGAATATGTTATTTTATAACTTACTCTTTTTATTACAGACAGAACATTTTCTTATTTCTGCCTCTAAATTTTCTTCTAGATTTTTACATTTTAGTGCTTTTTATCACACATAAAAATCAAAATAAAATAATATGAAGCTATCAGGAACTTTTATGATTTTAAGCAAAAAATTGATATAGAAAAATATTATTCTGGGTTTATTATATTTTGTTATTCGAGTATCAATGACAAGTTTAAGAACATTACAGAAAATTTAATTTAATGCTACAATTGGAAATTAGAAGCCAAAAATCAAAAACATGTATCAAAATTTGGCTACTAATCTAATTGAAGAATCAGGGTTATTTTAAAAAATATAATTTCCATGTTATTTCTTATATCACAAATATCAACCTTCACTTAAGTACAAGCCATACCACAATTGTGGTATGGCTTGTATGTAAATTGTAAATATAAAAAAATTTATCGTTATTTAGATAAAAATATATTGCTCAGTTGTAGAAATTGTAGACAAGAATAAAAATATCTGCTTGAAATAAACCGATATACTTTATTGAATTGTTAAAAAAGAATTGCGACATTTCCAGCCGAGTGCACCTTCATCGATATATAGGTGATACCAAACAGCTGCCATTATTTAAACATAAATCCATCTTGGTGTATGTTATCATATTGATTCGCATCATCGAAGCCGACTTTTATGCTCACTGACATGGAACAGTGGATCAAGATTGGATATTTCAATTTCCGTGTAATGCCTTCAATTTCACGTGGCCCGATGACCATCTTGTAGTCTGGTCTACTTTAGTATTATTATTTTCCGAAGATTAAAAAAATTATCAATGTCATATACAGGTCAGAGAATGACGATACACAAAGTATATCGGAAAGTTTATGTATAGTCATATGCAGTCACTGGGAACAAAGAAGAAGCTTAGATGAAAAATGGCCTGGAAAAGTTTTCCCACACGATGTTATAGCTGAGCTTGATGTTTGACGGGCATTCTTTCTATAAACTGGCAAGCTTTTTTAATCAATCAAAAACTGGCGCAAACTCAGCAAGTACAGCTTCACGGGTTTTTACCTTGCGGCGATAGTTACGCCAAGATTCGTGCTAGGTCAGGTCAAAGAACCAGGTGCCGACGAATCGGTATATAGAGGACGCGTGCAAAACGCAGACAAAGAGTTGTTGCCATTGTCACGTTAGAAAATTGACTATTTTTAGAAAATTCCTATGTATTTAAATTCATACTAATATATACTTACCTTTATTTCTAAACCACTGGAAACAATTTTTAAGTCAATAAAAGGCAATATAAATATTTTATTACTTGTAAAATTATTGTTAGAGGAGTTTTTTTTTTCAATAATAAAAATTTACGTATTTTAATATTAGAGTTGCACACTCTCGTGATAATACTAATGGTAATTCTTTTTTTCCGTAAAATAAAAAACCAATTTATTTAATTGTTTTTACCGTTATAAAAATTATTCTATCTGCCATATCTTTCTTAAATGAAGATAATTTTTTTTTTATATCAAACGATGAATTGATAAGACAGACTTTTCGAAAATAGAATAATTATTAGTTAACTTAAAAAATTCAACGATCTTATGTTTTAGAGTATTAAATTTCTGATAAAAACTCTTCATAATTACTCTTATGTTTTAAATGAGATTTAGGTAATAAAATTCTTGAATTAATTAATTATGATTCTTTATTTCAATGTCTCGAAAATAAAAATAAGAGAAAATTAGATGTGGTTACAGAGAAAAAAATGTTAAAATCTGTTATGGTAATTTAGGGTGACAACGTGATGAATGCTTAATTGCAACAACATCAAACTTACGTTAAGTGTTATAATAAAATCTTTTTATTAATGGTCAACACCAATATTATTGTAGAATTTTTGTTTAAAATGATTGTAATAATGGCATTATTATTGTTGTTGTTACGAAATATTAATGTTAGAGTAGATGGAGCGTAAAATTTTCCATAATAGTTTAGCATTTTACATTCTATTTCTATCTAACCATTTACATAAAACAAACAGATCGATTGATCTAAAAGACTCAATACATAAATATTGATAATTTTTAATAATGGAAAACCTTCTAAAAATAGAATATATTAAAAAAAAAAATTTTTTTAACACAAACCAATTAAATTCTCGTTCAATGAATTTTTTATTAAATACTTCATCAGTAAAAGTTACGATTGGATTAAATTGTGCGATAAAAATACTACGAAGAATAATAATGATACAAAAATGAAAAGAAAAATTTATTTTCAACATATTTCTAACTTTATGAACATTTTTTAACTTCAGGCGACAATTTTTTGTTACAGAGTTCGTGTTGAGTACTACGTAAATGAAAATACCTTCAAGGAACGCCTTCAGTTGTACTTTATAAAAAACCAACGCTCAAGTAAGTCAATGACAAAGCAATATGTTAATAAATAATAGTAGCAGTTCACTAAATGTTCGATTTGCTGAAATATTTCACAATTATCCCATACTTTATCACAAAGAAACAATAAATTGGACTATTATCGAGTGAATTTGACATTCGTTGAACGATTAAATGTGTGACCATCCGAGCTTTGATATATATTTATGATAGAGCTATTTCACTGTTCTATCTTAGTAATCATAGCGAGTTTGTTGATCGCCCGCTGTTTCTTCTGCATTTTCGGGGCTTTTTATAAGTGAAATTTTTCTATAAATCTTTTGAAGTCCAATGCAGTGACATGGTACAACGCGCAGAATTTGCCAAAGGCTGTATTGCTACAGATTAACCTTTAGAACTCAACATATGAGGGTCAATGGGGGATGTATGTATAGTTATGAGTTAGGTCATCGCCCACAGAGTTCCTTTGTGAAACTAATACTGTCGCACATGGTTTGAAATACTAAAGTTATACACATTTCTACATGGTTTGCTTTGATAATTATTTTTCACACTAAATAAACCTGATTTATGTCAACCGATTCACTAAATAATAAATTAATAAATATATCGGTTTTTTATTTATTACAGGTTTGAGAATACGAGTGGCTAACCTTTTCTTTAAACTTCTAACATGTTTCCTTTATATATTCAGAGTCATTACAGACAACGTTCCTACATTTGCATCATGGTAAGACCTATTCTATTTATTTTTTTCACTTTTAAATTACTTTTCTAAACTTTTGCTTATTTATCTGGCTAAAATGATAAAACTCGAATTTGAATAAATTTTTTTTTAACATGCACGAGTGAGAAAATTATTCAAACAATGTTTTTTAAGCCTAAACTTTGACATTTTACAATGATAAAAAATGTTGTTTGCTTGAAGGTTTTTTCGCCTAACTATTTTATTCATTTTAACATCAAAGTAATCATATTATTTTTAGCTAATTTACATAATTTATTTTGCCAGACGAAAAAAAACATTTATATTTAGATGAGGTGAACTCGTTTTTGCTAACAATTGAAAATGACATAAAATTATAATTTTTTTAGCTACGGTTGTACACCAGGAAACAAATCAGACATTATAGCATCCCAAATGCTGACAGAAGAAGAGTTTCAAGAGCATTCAACTATCAACTGGGACGCAATTTTGTGGGTAAGGCGACCTGTAGAATTGTGGGTGATTCAAGTGATCTTGGCAATAGTATCTTTGACAGAAGCACTTCTTCTCGCCTATCTCGGTTACAAGGTATGTTGCTCTTTTACTTTACTCGTTTAATCTCAATTAATTTAATTAGATTTTAAACTATAACTCATTTATATTCCCCGTTTTTTCCATATTTTACGTATAAACGTGAATTAATATATTTATTGTGCTAAAAAATAAAATATTAAAATTTTTTAATTTTTAAGTTAAAATAACAAGCCCCATTTGCATAATTTTTGTAAGATTTTTTTTGCAAATTTAGTTATACATTTTTGCCTCTAGTCTTATTCAATCAGCTCGATAATTCCCGAGTCAGAATTTTACTCTTATTTTGCCGCTCAACCTCCTGAAAGTCAGGAGCATCAGCGGAAAAAAATTATTTTTTCGTATAAGAAAAATAATATAAAATATTTTTATATTTTGCCGCTGAACCTCCTTCATAATTCCCGATTCACCACCTTCAGCGGCATAATATTTCAAACAAATTCAGGGGCTTCAGCGGGAAAAAAAGTTCAAGGGGTTGAACGTAAAAAAAAATTCAGGAGGTTCAGTGGGATTTTTTCATTCAGGGGGTCTAGCAGGAAGCAAAGAAAAATCGTTGGTGTTCTCGGCGGTCACCCATCCAAGTTCTGTACACAAGAAATTTTGCTTAACATCGAGAGATCGAGTCCAGGTCCCTGCATCCACTGCTCTACGTCGAATTTATAAATTTGTTTTTTTTTTCTACTTATTTAAATCCACAATAATTAATATTATAAATGAAATACTATTAATAGTAACTTAATCTTATAATGAAAAATTAATTAAAATATACAAAATAATAAAAAAAATATTTAAAAATTGCAATTAATAATCACTGATTATTAAAAGTAACTTAATAATTTTTTTTTAAATAAATATTAATCAAAAGAATTGAATACTATTAAAAATAGTTTATTAAACCATTCTGTACTCGGTAGTAATAAAATAATCATATTAACTATAATAATGTATTGTTATAAGCAATTAAATATTTTCTCACCATTACTAACTATTAGAAATTATTTTAAATCATTACAAATAATTTTTAATCGTCAAATGTTTATAAAACTAATTTAATAATGTAGATTTCATTAATAAATTCATAATAATTATAGAAAACGCATAGATATTCTGGATGAAGACAAAAATTTTTATTTTAAATAAAGTATAGAAAGCATGCCTACCTGCAGATTCAGCGGCCAAAATAATTTCTGTCAGGAGGTTCAGCAGCTAAAGTAAATTTTTTCAGGGGGTTCAGTGGGAAAATATAGATTTTTAGAGGGTTCAGCAGTAAAATAATAGTAAAATTCTGACTCGGGTATCATTTTACATTGATGCGAAATGAAAAATTTTAAAATATAAAATCAATTTTACAAGTGGAAGGTGAAAAAGCATTTCAATATTTGCGATACAATATTTCATCAATGAATACTTTCCCTGGGAATAAATCATTTGGAAGAAAGTAAACAAAAATAAAAATTTTAAATGACAAATAAATTCAGGAAAATGCAAAAAAATGTATGTTTACACAACTGAAAGTCACGTTGAAGTTTGGGTAAATCGTAGCAAAATCTACGTAAGTTTTTCGATTGAAAGCTTCGAAGGATAAGGTCCTATCTAAACATAGCTTCAAAGAAGCGCTTCATTCAGTGCTTTGAGTCTCTCTAACTACTCGCTATTCCCCTCAGAAACCACTTATGAGACACATTAAGAGCTACATGGTAGGGAGAAGGCTTCGAGTATGTAGAATCTCTCAAGTTCTAGGATTAATGTGAGGGCGTGTTACACAACACCATTCTAGTTTATTTTCCATTCATTTCATCTAATGTAAAGACTCTAATCACTGTCTCCATCAGACATTCATCATCAGACTAAAGCAATATTCTTAAGAAAATTAGAGTACTTATTACAATTCAAGCCATCCTCATGAAGTTTTTAATTCTAGAACTGTATTATCTTTACGAAGTACGTGTAGCTTCTTTTAATGAATCTTAGAAATTATTTTCATGCAAAATTACATTTTACAAGCAGTACTTTACATGTTTATTCACTGAAGTGTATGTAACTAAATTATTAACATTAAATTAATTTATGTACAAACATATTCTGATGTGTAAAATGTTCTTTGCTATATAACGGAGTTATTTCTATTGTAAGTTTAGCCTCTTGATGTATATTCTCTGAACATCACAAATTTTTTTATATGTTTCTTTGAAACTAAATCCAGCTTAATTTACCCTTTACTGTTTTCACAAGTTCGTTGTAGGTTCACCTATGAACCTTAACAGAGAACAGATTTAGGATATTTCAAGCGTTTTCGGAATAGTGATAAAAAAAGTCGCCTTGTAGCAAAGCTGTGCTCAATAGACTTGTTTATTCTGGTCTTGTAACTTGTATGCATAATTTCTGTTGATCGGAAATTCCAATGTCATTTTGTAAGCATATTCTTATGGACCACCACATGAAAGTACTATTTTTTCACAAAGAAAAATCTTCCATTATGCGGTTGAAAGAAAATAATTGTGTTATTAATAAAAAAATTTGTATTTTTATTATCAATAGAGAATTCCTTTGTTAAAAATAACATTTTTATATTTTTGTTTTTTTTTTCATACGTATAAAATCAATATTTCGATTACATTTTTTGATGATTTTAATTTTAATAATTCAACTAAAATACATATTTTTAATGTAATGAATAATATTTTTGCATATGTCTTGGGAAAAACAATTTTAATATTTTTATTTTAGATTCAGTAAGCTCCCCGATAGCCACATTTACTTTTTATTTACAACAAATTTACTTCATATATCAATATTTCATGCATAAACGTATTCTTTTATATAGTTATAGGTAAGTAACGTATGAGGGATAAATGAAGCAAAGTTTAATGTTTTATAAACAGCAATATTGAACATCTTATTTACTTGAAGTTTGCGTCACGATGTGAGGATATAAAAAGAACATTTAAGCAAAAAATAAATTTAAAATTTTTAATATATGTGCAAAATTTTGTCCAAATATTCTTTAGTACATGCATAATTTTATGTACATATTCTGAAGTTTTTTGACAAAATCATGCATATAACAATGTTATTTCAACTATTATAGATATTTAAATGCTTACCAATAATTTGCGTTTATTATCATTTTCCTCATTTTCAAAAGTGTCAAATTCTTCCAGAGATGTTAGAGCAAAGCCAGCTGGAAATCCCAAATCATCACAATCATCATCATCACGTAATATTTTTTCAATTTTTTTCAATCGTGCGCTACAAATATCACATGAATTGCAATACATATGTATATATATATATAGAAGACAGGTAAATTGAGACCCAAAATATATAATTGTACTTACTCAATATTTGACAGAAACTTCAAAACTTTATTTTCAAATTCTGCACTGTGATTGAGTTAACTTTGTTCCTGCTGTACGATACGATTTTGTAGTTCATACCTAGCTTCCCTATTCATCTCATTAGCATTTTGCAATTCTGTATAAGTTGGAAATGCGCTTGATTGATCAACATTTGGTCCTGTATTTACGGTATTATTGAGGACATATGATGGTTCTGAAACGTTATGTTTCACTGATTAATCAAGTTAGTTGTTAAAAAATTAATAAGGATGATTTATGATTAAGATGTAATCTAATTTAATGTTAACTTGATAAAATTATTTTCCGTATTCTTGATTTCAGTAGACCTGAAGATCTGTTTGCCAGATGGCCCGGTTAAACTTTTATTGCTAGTAAGACAATGACTGCACTTCATAATAACATATATGTATATTATATATATCCTAAGAAAATTATCGAATTCTACTTTTAAGAAAATATATTTTCTTAACAAAAATATTTTTTGAATCACTACGTGTAAAATAATATTAAATATATGACAATAATGCTGCAACAATAATAGTTCCGGCTTCAATCACTCCATATTCAAAAGAAGGCATTTTATAACATTTGACGTAAATATCTGTTGAATTTACCATCATCACTGTTTCTAATAAATTTGAACATTAGTAGACTTGAACTTGAGAGGAAGCTATGCCGTAAGGAATGTCATAAAAATTTGTAATATTCTGGAATATTTTTACTATAAAGCCATAATGGTTCAATGATAATTGAAGAATATTTTGAACTTCACAAATCATGCCATTCTTCAATAATAAGCAGTTATCTCTTTTGCTTCCTACAATAATCTGGAAATTTTGCGATTTTAATCCTTTGAATTGAATGAAATTGCCGTTTACATTATTTACTAGTGGTCCATTATGATGTTGATGCAGAGGTTGAATTCTAAAATCTTGTTTTCTTTTCCGTTACAAAGTTGTCTTTCTGTGAGTTGTCAATTTAATTGCTGAAGAAGTTGATTGGGTTTTCTAAGTAATTTCCCGAAAAAAGACATGTTGTCTTCGTATGGAAATGCTAAATAAGTGTCCATTTGACCGAAAATTTGAATGTCCTGAACTACGTGTAATAATCCAGGAATATTATAACTCATGAATTTCTGTCCATAAATAGTTTCACAGCACTCGACATAAACTTTTAAAGCAATTTCTGCATATTCAAAACTATTTCCGTTCTAGCTTGACATTGATAGAATTTGACAAGCAGAATGTAATAATAAGAAGTGTTGATAAATATCACTTTCTAAAATATCATAAAAAAATAGGTCCAGTATACAGCAATAATTGACGGAACTCAGTTGCTTTAAATTTGTTATAATCAACAATAGAACGTGGACGACGAGCGAACTCAGACGGACAGTATGATTGTAGTTGTAAAATGTTTACGAGGAGTTTTTAATAAAGATCTAGTTGAACAAGGTAGAGTTTGAAAACAGTGATGTTTACGAAGGGTTGAAAGAATTTAATCACCTTGGGTATGATTGGTATTTACTTGAAGAAAAGTCGAAGCAAGATCTTTACGAAATTGATCAATTGTATAATCACTATCCTCAGAACTGGAACTATCACTTGAATCTTCGTAGAAATCATAACCAAAGTCATC